AACATATTTTTCATCATAGATATCCATAAATACATCAATTGCTCTGTAAAAAGCGCGAGCGATTAGAATGATGGACTCTAAAACCGAATAAAGACTTGAATTTTAGACTCCTAAGATTTTTTTAGATTTCTCGTAAGCTTTCACTTAGCCATTGATTTTGAACAGGTCCATCAAGATCAGGGAAAAACACCTCTGAATTGTCATGTCTAGTCACTATATAAGTTAGCAATAGCTCAATTTCAATTGAAGGATAGTTAATCAGACTTTTACGAGAATTTGAATTATTGAAGGATCTAAGTGAAAATAAGTTTAGAACCGATTAATATTTTGGGTCAAATAATTAACTATTGAGGGAATAAAAATTAATATGTCAATGTTGGGCTCGTATTGTACTTCGACTCAAGAAAAAGCTATCATGGACAAGCCGAACCCAAATTAAAGTTAGCAAAAGGAAAACAAAATTTAATTGAATTTTACAGAATTAATTACCTTTGGTTATCCAAATACGGCCGATATCAATATGTTAAAAGAATTGGTTAACCATTTTTTTTATTAGAAACTAATCAATTAAACTCTTAATCGTAATAATATAATATCTTGTAAAACGAAACCATGCATGCCCAATGTCTTTGTGTTTCATGTCTCCTCTCTCTTAACTGTGTAGAAACTCAACCATTTTATAAACATTGATATATACCCAATGAAAATGAGAAAAATCACTAAAAAAGCGTCAACCCTTTTCCGTAAACAATAAGGAACCGAGAGTCGGAGAGGAGAAAAATAAAGAAATGGGAATTTTTCAAGCGTAATATTTTATCTTCTTTTAAGGTATATTTCAAGTTTTACAACTTTTAAATTGACATGCAAGTGATTAATTCTCTTTCTTTGTAATGTTCGCATAATGAATTTCATAGACTACATTTGGACATTCGGGTCAAGATACGTAAATCCTTTGGAATAGACCTTCGGATGAATATATGAAAATCATTTAGAATTCAGGGTTTCTAAAAAATTCCTTGAACTATTGATTATTTGTAGTATGACGTGGTCCCGGATCATCTCGTTGGACATCAATTGAAGAAAATTTTCCAATCTTTTTAGAAAGGTCCTAAATGAATAATCATGAAATCTAACTCAACGAAATAAATTTCGTCCTCAAATTTGCATATTCCTATATATCTTCCTCACATAAAATTTCGTCCTCAAATTTGCATATTCCTAAATATCTTCCTCACATGTAAAGATGGACTTTACCGACTCTCTAAATGAGCTCATTTCTTGCCGTCCTAATGACATTTTTTATGGATAAGTTTTCCATAGCTGTATGTCAGTGTGATTGTGAGATTGCATGTCGTTTTTGTTCCGATTACCTTAAATAGAAATCCAAGGTTTACATCGAACTCTTAGAAAAGTTTTCATAAGGCAATGGGAACAAAGTTGAAATCAACATTGCATTTCACACTCATATAGATGAAAAGTCTGAGTAGACAATTTCAGATACAAAGCTATTATACACTGAATCCAAAAGAAACATAGATGAAATCATAGGATCGAAAATTACATCATAAACCCTAAATCACAACATCAAGGCTTAGATCTTCCAATCGAAGGCTCAGACCACACCCATAAACCATCACAGAGGCACCGAGACTCAAACCGAACCCTCACAACCCAAACACACCAAGGTCACTTCATTGGACTCAAGAAATCAAACTGCCTACCTTCGGTCGATCACTCACACAAAGGAGAATCACACAAGAACACGATTATCACAAAGATAATCAACCAGAAATCTCACAAAGAGAAGAAGGAAGGGTCACACAGACGAGAGGACTCGAAGGTTCCACACGGCAGAGAGAAAGAGAAAAACAGAAAATGACGATCCACCAGCCAAACAAGGGAGTAAGGATATTATTTATAGTAAGTATCATCAACCGTTGATCAGCGGGTCAATCCAACGGTCCAAGAGCGACTAATGGTGTGGGCTGAATATTGGGCTCGGTTAAGTGGGCCTTCTAGGTATATATTTAATGGACCAAGTAATAAATCCAATTTGGGCCTTTTCATCATTGCCTAACAGTTGGACTGGATCAAATGGCATCACAGCCCAACAAAAGCAATACAAAGGGAAAGAAATAAGTAATCACGACACTGTAGTAAACAAAATAGGGTCTGTGGGGATTGAGTCATCCGGCCATTCTCATACCTTTTCATGGTCAGTTCATTGGAGAATTATCATTGACCAATTTCAAAAAATATCAAGATAGGTCCCCTCTCTGAATCGAGGGAGCTGGTTCACAATCAAATAGTTTTTATGTGGCGTAGTTGTTTGTTCTCCTGCTCGTGTGCACCATCCAGCCTGTTCCGAGCAGGACAGGGGAAGGACTGTGTTCCCCTTTTGGAAACACTAAAATGTGGAGGATTATTGGGCGTCTGATCCAATACTATCTTGTGCACCTTCTATGAGTGGTTCGGGTGAAAATTGATCATCTCCGTACCAATACGCAACCAACCAGTAGATAAGTAAGTTAACAAAACTTAGAAGTGTCAGCATCGCATAATACTTGTCCAAACGGCTTGAATCTATATCATGCCCAAACCATCTACTGAAAATGAGGATAAAAAGTATACTCAGAAACTTTCCGATGCCTATCACACATTCTCCAAATGGTGTTTTGTAGTTCCTTAGAGATTTAGAAACCTGAGAACAAAAGAAATTTTGAAGCCCACCTACCGAAAGTCCTTCCATAACTCCCAAGAAGATAAATTGTGGAGTTAGGCTAAAAATATCCATATGTATACTTGGCTCACTGTATATCTTGACCAAATACAGCCAGTGAACTGCATTTTTCCAAGCAAATATGCAACAAATGACAGAAAATGCCATTCCAATACCGATTCTCACCTGCATTATGAGTTGTTTGTCCATTTCACTACCAATTTTTCGAATTAAAATGTCGCATAGATATTCAATTGCAATGCTTGTGACTGTTACTAATATATTGAAAAAAGTAATAGGGAAATTTTTATTTAGGTTGCGAGCTTGTTGGAAAAAGAAGGTGCTTCCTGTCGCATAAACCAGACTGTATGTAAGGAAAGTTGTCCACATAGGAACCATCCCTAATAAAAATTTCACTTCCTTCACTTGTGCAACTGTGCAATTCTTGTCTGGCCTATTTTCCTCTTCAATCACAATGGGAGCTTTGTCTAACCACCTGTCGTTTAACATACAAAATGCAGTGCAGTTTCAGTAAATAAAATCAGTAATCTCGTAAAGTCAGAAACTGAGTGAAGAGACATACCTCAACCATGAAATGCTACGCTCAATATGTGTAACACCTTTATAATTTTGGAAGAGCTGCTCCGGAGTAGTTGCATATAGAAGATTTCTTTTTAGTATTGCTGTTTTGATAACAAATAGAACATCAGAGATGGCGCTGCCTGTTGGTGGACTGCATTCGTAAAATTTTGCACCTAACCAGAACCACGAGTATGCAACCATCATTGAAATTGCTGAGATCACAGAAAGCATCGTCAATGAACTCGGGAAAAAAGCAGCAGCAATAGCACCCAAGATGGATGCAGAGCGCCACCAGGCATTGCTACGGCTATGTTGTCGTTCTTTATCCTCTTCTGTGGTTGCGATATCCTTCGCCAAGAATTGATCATCAAGAAACGCTTTCAAGGATACCCCTTTTGCAGCTTTTGCCAGATTTATTAGCACCAGTGCCAAGTAGAACGTTCGAATATCTCTACTTCCGTGCCTGGCCGCATTCCAGATGAGCAGCAATCCCTGCAGTTGATTGATTTAGAAAATCTTTGAATAAGACATTTGAGAGTAAAAAAGGTGGTGGGTTTAACGATAATCTCTCATTACAAAACTCACAATGATGTAAGATATGGTGGAGTAAACCACCATTTTGACGCGGCCCAGATAGACATCCGATGCAAAAGCAAATAAAATTTGCAGAACTGCCGCGGTTCCTTCTTGTAAATTGACAGCTTTAACCGATGTTGGTATGTCCCATACACCTGGGAGATGAGTGATCAGTATATCTACCAGTGCCTTCTCTACGAAACTGTGGACATAAATGAGGCCTGTAGACATTTAAGCCAAGTGTTAGAAGTTAGGAAATAATCAAAATCAGCATAATTATTCTCAGTTTACCAAATATAAACAATGCTTCCTTCGAGAAAACAACGTAGTAACTGAGCTTCTTCAAACACCACTTGATTATCCTCATAACGATTCCACTGCTACAATGGTATATAGTCTGTCTTTTACTTCTCGAAAATTAAGTCATTTATATAGGCTCAATTCCTCTACTTGTGCTAAGCAACTACCAAGAAGTTTCATGGTTTGGAGAATTGGTTGGAAAATTGTCAAAGTTTAGCCGTGGGTCCGGTTCGTCATGTAAATTTACTTATTTGAAATATAGTCAATATATAATTATGCCCCTGTAGTCAATATATAATTAGCCGTGGGTCCGGTTTGTCATGGTTTGGACAATCGTCAAAAAGTAGCCGTGGCCACACATGCATCGATAATTGTGTGCCTAACTGAGTTTTGTAAGTATTATGCCCTAGGTCCAATCAACTTTGGACATAAATACTTTTATATATAATTAATGCAATTAAATGGCAGA